TATTAAATTAGCTAAAATAGAAGACAGGTAGAATGGAAATGTAGCAGAATAGGAAGAGGATGCCTTGTGGCAGATGAGACTTCAATAGGGCCTTGAAGATGGTAGTGAAATCTGTGCAAAGTGATACGTGGTGGTGGGGAGAACAATACAAGCAGCAGCTTTGTGAGGGAAAGAAGCCTTTGTGTCTGTGTCAGGTGGAGAAATTGTTTATGGAAGGGAAAAATAGGAACTTTGGATTTCAAAATTAAAAAACAAAGCACTAATGATATGAGTTTTAGTATTATAACATTGTGTAAGTGGTTAGATCATTGATGGGAATGTTTTTGCATTTTTTTGTTTCTATTTTATACTCCTTCCTATACTCCTGGAGGACAAGGATGGAGGGGGCTATACTTTATCTTTTTTTCATATTTGCATACTCATTTCTTGAAATGGGATCTGACGCATTGTTAGATTTTAAATGTGTGAGTTGAATAAGTTCATGAGCATGTGCTTTTAAATCATTATGTTGATTTTTACAGGTTCCATTTGGTCTCTCGTTGGAGCCATGTTCTATGCTGTCTATATTGTTATGATTAAGAGAAAGGTAGACAGAGAAGATAAGTTGGATATCCCAATGTTCTTTGGTAAGAATATGCTTCACTGGTTGAGACTATTTACTCAGAATGATTAACTTAGGGTTTTGTTCTTGTTTTTTTGGAGGTAATAGGGAAGCCTTTTCTCCCCCCTTCCATGTGATTCTCTAAGACCATCAGATTTTAAAGATTACAAAGTTCAATCTCAGTGTTTTTCTCTTGCCTTGTCTTGCATAATTATGCACCTATGAGGAAATGCCCATTCCCTCAATGTGAGGTAAAGAACGAAGTTCCTCTTAACTCCTTTTCACATTAATGTCTTCAGCCTGTGAATCAGATGAATCAGATGTTTTCTTCATTGATACGACAGAATTCTGCTGTTAAAAGCACGTGAGAGTATACCTGTTGTAGTATACACTTCATCATTTTTGAATTGTTGGAAGCATAGGATGGGGGAAACTGCCCCAAAATGATATGTAAAATACTGTTCTAGTCTATGTACTTATTTTCATTAAAAATTGTGGGCCATTTAAAGGCTTTG